ATGTTCTCTGTTTTTGTCTTTAAAACGTAAATATCCAAATAAATGCAATAACTGTAGGAATAAATTCATTAAAAATTTCACTAGATTTTTTGTAACCATTGCTGAAACTTCATTGGTGGTGCCAAATAGGTGCCATCCTCATAATCTCTCTCTTTTTTCACTCAACTATAAAAAACCTGTTAAAAATTACTCTTGAATTTTCAATCAAAATTCTAGTGAAAAAAATGTAATAAGCCAGTAAAAATTGCAACCTTTTAGACTCTTTCAAGGCATTGGTGAAGCCTGCAGAGGNACTAGATTTTTTGTAACCATTGCTGAAACTTCATTGGTGGTGCCAAATAGGTGCCATCCTCATAATCTCTCTCTTTTTTCACTCAACTATAAAAAACCTGTTAAAAATTACTCTTGAATTTTCAATCAAAATTCTAGTGAAAAAAATGCAATAAGCCAGTAAAAATTGCAGCCTTTCAGACTCTTGCAAGGCATTGGCGAAGCCTGTAGAGAAAAAAAATGTGGGAAATGTCAGACAAAAGTTCCAATTCTCGTTGATTGCACATCACAAACATTTATCTCAACTTGAAAAAAAATGAAAAGACCGAGATCCTTGACTGGCCTTTCATCCGAGAAAAATACGTGGAATTCAATGCTCCGGGAGGGCTCCTTACTCACGAACAAGTAGTCGCGATCAAGAGACCAACGAACCCCCACTACAATTGCCTACATCTGTGTTGTGTATTCATTCCCTCAATGTGGCTGCATCTCGTGCGCTTCCGAAATTAGCCCACGGTTTTGCGGCTGAACTACAGGGAAACGATGTTTAAATATCCGTCAGATTTGATGAATTACTGTGGCAAAGTGTTTATGCGTCGAGTGGTTTAAAACGTAAGCACACGAAAGGTCATGAGAATTTTGAGGGAAGATGAAAGAGACGAGGATCCAACGAAAACAATCAATCATCCACTCTGAAATATCGAATGCAATGAATCAGTGGGTGTGCAAGATTTACACCAGGCACTTGAGTTGAAAAATGCACGCGACAAGGAATAAATTCATGAATTCAAGGGTAATCAGGATTATATCAACGACGATGTGTCTTTTCAAGAGCCTGTTCCACGATTGCCAGTCGAATCTGTTGCTTTATTTTCACGTTTTCTCTTCGGACATAGAGAAATGAGGTGTCATGAAGTGCACTTAATCAACTCGGAGAACCATGCAAAGTCACATGAATAAGATCTGACTGTTGAAAGTATCTCTTTAAGGTGTTTCGTGTATACATCACCGGTAGGGGGGGGGGGTTCAAACGGAAAGGGAGTCTTATTGTTCTCGAGCCCTGATTCAATCGCTGAGCACGAAATTTTCCAATTTTCAAGTAACTATTTAAGTGTGCATTTGAACATTTTTTGAATATGGATTTCATTTTCATTTATCATTTCATTTATCAAATTGATTGATTTTTTTCTCATCACCTACGGGTGTCAAATAATTTTTATTGGATGTTTTTATAATTATTGAAATAATATTAAAATGCGTTTCGAGTTGGTAAACCTGTCGAGTGTTTTCTGTTCTCCCATTTCCATGGTCCAACCCATACCTTTCCCATGATGCTCATTGACATTCGAATCACGCGCCTGCCCGTGAGGGCTTAATTGCCCCGAAACTCATAATTTTCCGAATCATTTGTTCAAATAACTTTCTTATGAAATCTGAAAAAAATCTGAAACTTATACGTGTTCTCAAGAAAGATTTGATTTATCATCCGCTAGTTTTTCCTCAGTAGTTCATTTTTTTTGGGTGTCATGGAAATTTCCCTAATTGAGAGTGGGGTAAACCTCGGAGGTTATAGCTGGAGGGGTTACAAAAACATCCAAATTTCATAATTTTTTTTCTTGAAACTGGAATTTGAAAAAAATGTGCAAAAATTCTCAATGGTGCAGCATACTCAGACATTTCTCCCGTGAATGTTCCAATTTTTAAAAATTATTTTTACTTTTTACACAAACACCTTAAGGGATAACAGATGGGCATCGTTTTCTCGAAATTTTTAAAAAAATTTCCTGCTCAAAATTATTAATATTTTTTGAACCCAAAACACATTGACGTTCATCATCGTCTCCTGGAGATTAAAGTGTTTTGATTTTTAAAAATATCAATACCTTTCAACAGGAAATTTGTTCGAAAATTTATGAAGCTGAAACTAGCAGAATATTCGTCAGCGGAAAATTCAATTTAGGGGATATTTAAGTGTAGGCCCGAGTCGAGGATTTGGTTCTGATTGGCCGTACACAGGTCTTTCAAGATCTCTCCAGACCTAGATGGACCTGGTAAGTCCTAATCAGTTCTGCGACGTACTTTTCCAGAGACCATTCGAATCCTCAGTTCTTTTCGGTCCTGAGAAGTCCTCCTCGATGCTACCGAGAACGCGTGATTTTACGAGCGGGTGAAGGGGAAGGCANGGCGCGACAAAAGTCGAAATAAAAATTTTTTTTTCACCCCGAGCCAAAGAGTCTGTTTTTCCAGAGGGAATGTCGACTTTCGCCAAAATCGAATTTTTTAGTCGGGCGAGTGTG